AGTACGCAGTCAAACAATTCTATTTGCTGAATCGTAAGCCGTTCATATTACAAATGTTCGGTTCGGTTTCGGCGATACTCGATACGGACGAGGATGGCACGTACGGGGAGGCACATAAGGTAAGAGGGGAATTTGTTTATTGAACAAATAGGAGTAGATATGACGTACGCTGATGGATGATGAGCATTAGGTAGGAAGTTTAAAACGAGCCTGTGGAGGAGACCTTTTATAGCGAATACTTAGTTAGTCCAAGAAACGTACGTTTTGACATGTTATCTATTGTGGTCTACTGTGCCTCTCACCCTCATCTCTTCACAAAACTTCTTTTAAACCTAGATCCCTCACGAGGTTCAACAGCTTTCGGGGGAAAGGGAGTAAATATACTTAAGCTGTGACCACATTGGTCCTAGGCTTCTCTCACATCTTCTACAGACTGCATCACATTAGATGAGGACGTGTAGTGGTGACTCGCCGGTAGAGTCTCAGAGCCCGCGAAGACCAGCTAACATAGATGTCCTCTAAGTCTGCAGTATCCTAAGTTAGTTTTCTAAGTTTGTCTTTTGTGAGATTTATTAAGCTTTGGAATGTTCGTGTTATACCATTCCAGTATGCTCTTTGCTTTACGTATTCCTACCAAACTATGGCTCAGGGCCAACTGGAGTGATAGCTGCCTCCTCTCATGCGCGGCAGTCCACCACCTCGTTACCGTCTTTGCCACTATGGCCAGGTACCAGGGTAGCCAACTCCTTTTGGAGAATTAGCCGATTTCGACAATGAAATTCCCCCGATTTCGCCGGAAACTTCGTAAAACTCCCTACCCATGGATATCTTTTTATTTACGAAAAAAAATAAAAAATTGTAGGTATTTTGACATATTAGGAGTGTTCGCTATGCAACTGCCACTAAGAATTAGCCAGTAATAAAATTCAGAGAATAAGGTGTCTTACTCTCCCAAAGAGAGAAACTTACTTAGTTTTGCGCGAACAGGAATAAGCAAACATTTGCAAGCTTCACTGCCAGCTGGCGTCCATGGTTGCATTTCGAACATAATACATTTTTTAAATTCTTTCAGATGGAAAACAAAACAGCACCTATACGTATATTTCTCCTTATTCTGACTTTCTTCAAAATACGCTTCAATTTCTTTGTGGAAGTCACTGTCGGATTTCCTATATCGACAGTGGTGTCGACTGCGTTCAGATTACGAATACAGCTTTTTAAGTCGAGTACCTTTCAAATGTTTGGAATTAATTAAATTAAGTGAATAAATAAATATTTACATACTTCTTTCATTAGTAAATCACAACAAGTTTGTTGCTTTAAATTTAACGAACTTGTTGATTCAAATTAGTGTTGACCAAAATGCAACCGTGTGGCACAATCCTGCGTATAAATCCAAGTTTCAAACTTTGTGTAATATTAAAAAAAAAAAAATCTATAAACTTTCGTAAAAATTTCGAGCGATTTTCGAATCGTAACTGTCGTGGATGAGCAACTCGTCATGTAAAAATGCATATTTCTGATTATAACAGTCGTGAACGTACTGATTGTCTCGTAATTCGGTATACGAGACAATCAATGCGTTCACGACTGTTATAATCCGAAACATGCCTTTTTACTACTTTTACGTTTCGAGCCCGGTAGTTGTAGTTGCAGCTGCATTTCTTATGCGCCTTTTTTAACTCATTATGAAATTAGTGAAGCAAAAAAGAATAAATTAGTTAACACTTATTCCTCACAAAACGCAGTTCATCTCCCAATTCTGCACGTAAACTGAAATTCCCCACAAAAAACGGCCCATTCTCCGATTCCCCACGCATACTCAAATTCCCCGCAAATCGGGGAATTCCCGAGTTGGCTTCGCTGCCGGGTACTCACGCTAGTTGAATGTTATTGTGTCTGCGGTGGAAGTTGAGCTTCTCAATGCACCCAAGTAGCAAAGATGATTTGATTTCATAAGCTAAGAGACCCTGGAGTACCACCTGGCTGTCAGAATTATAATACTTTCCTTGCGGGACCCTCTATTTATTATTGTCTCCGCACAAAGACAGATGACGCAAACTGCCCCTTAGAAGACGCTCAGATATTTCCCCATTGGGACAGAGTCTCTAGGGAAAAGAGCTATCGGAAGCGGGGGCGCTAGCTGCTTCAAAATACAAGACCCCTCTGTAGCAAAGCCAAGCAGAGTTATTTTGGCAAGCTGCTATATGGTTATATAGAACAGGTTGAAGTCTATACGAACTGACGAAATAAGTCCCGAGGTTCATTAAGCATTCACAGGGACACAGTATCGAGTTATGGAGACTCTAGCCCTGTGAGTGCCGTTCTAGGCACACAACCACCGGACATTGACGTGACGGAGCTTCAACTGCCTCGGGAGACAAGAACCACACTAGCCAACTTCGCTCTGGCTACTGCAGCAGGTTAAACTCATACCTGAGTAGGCTAAATGCGGATGTGCCAAATGAGTGTCCGGCATGTGGAAAGACGCCTCACGACTCGAAACATCCCTTCGCATGCCCGGAAAACCCGACAACCCTAACGGCTTTGTCTCTGTTGACCGGCCCTGTAGAGGCTGCATGCTTCTAGGGCTGCCGTTAGTGGAAGTCGACGACAACGACTGAGATATCAACCGANTGGAAAGACGCCTCACGACTCGAAACATCCCTTCGCATGCCCGGAAAACCCGACAACCCTAACGGCTTTGTCTCTGTTGACCGGCCCTGTAGAGGCTGCATGCTTCTAGGGCTGCCGTTAGTGGAAGTCGACGACAACGACTGAGATATCAACCGATCTGGGCGGGGTTGTTGTAGCCGCTTGCTGTAAAGAAGCTAGGAAAATTGGAGAGATAGCCGCTTGCTTTCGATCACAGGTCATCAATAACATTTCTAGATGCCAACAGCAACGTCAAAGATCCAATAAACTCTGAGACACTTCGCCGACCTAAACGGGGTTAGATCGCCGAAACAACAGCCCTTGGTCGGGTAAAACCCGAGTCATTCCGGTACGTAGAACCGGCTGTCGTGGGAATGCGCACTACACTTGCACAACTTCGCTCCGGCTACTGCAGCAGGTTAAACTCCTACTTGAGTAGGCTGAATGAGGATGTGCCTAACGAATGTCCGGCATGCGGAGAGACCCCACATGACTCGAAACATCTCTTTGCATGCCCGGCAAACCCGACATCCCTAACGACCTTGTCCTTATGGGCAAACCCCGCAGGAGCTGCACGCTTCCTAGGGTTGCCGTTAGTGGAACTTGACGACAACGACTGAGACACCAACCGATCTGGGCGGGGTTGTTGTAGCCGCTACAACAACAACAACAACATCCAATAAACTCTCTCAAGTGGCTTGCGCATCTTCGATAAGTAAAATTAACATACACTGCAGGGGATAGGAGAGACATGGGGCGATAGGACTGTCCTTTGTTAGCAAGTTTCCTCAGCTTGTGTAGTGGAAGCTCTATCCTTTATTTCCACAAATCAGTAATGTTTCTCCAAGAATGAACAACGATTTCAAGAGCTCGCTGAACTAGGCAAGTTTGGAAGGTATCCAACAGGTGGAAAAACGAGGGATTGAGGGGCCCTGTTTCATGCGGACATTGTTATGAACTGTTAAGCTGGTAGAAAATTTTATACGAATTCTTAAATTTAACTGACATGCCCGCTTACATACTTGCATAATATGTATGTATATGTACATATATCTACATTTATATTCTCTACAAATATTTCAGGTGCAATCGAGTTGCTTATTCAACTTACTATTGAGTTTGGAGGACCCCTCGCCCGATCCATTAAATATCGCCGAACTGGTAAAAGAGCCCAAGCCGCTAAAAGCTATTGATTTTTGCTATCACGACGAAGATGGTGACGTCACTGTGTTGGATTGCATCACCTTATGCGTTATGGTGGTTTCTTACTCTGCCGAGAGCACCCGCGGCTATCAAATGCTGGTTGGCAGCTGATATTATCGACTGTCTTTCGGAAACATTATTAATAACCATCCTTTCTAGATCATTCTTGAGGCTATACTACCATGCTATTTACAACAAATCCAATCGCCCAGCTATATTCCGTTACAAGGCAAATCGGAGCGTGACATAATTTTACAGTTGGCTGTCGCCATACGAACTATGGTCCACAATTGCGAGGGTCTGGCGAAGAGTTACAATGGTCCATATCGTAATAGCCCAGAACACAAGGGCTCATCGCAACGCAATTGTAGTCGCGGTCCACCTTGTTCGCCCGGTCTTGACTTCGAGGAGGAATCGCACTCGAAATATGTTAACGATCCACGCACAAAGAACATAATGGATTCTGGCGAAGATTCCGAAATGATACGCACAGAGTATCGACGTCCTCGTGACGTGCTGCTTTCAGTAGTCGGCGATTTCCTCAGCAAATCAAGCACGCGTTTGTTGGAATTGTCAAAGAAGCTGCCGAATGATAACAAAACCACAGAGGTGTTGGATGCCAAATGCCATATGCGTTTAGCAGAAATCGCGCATTCGCTGCTGAAGGTCTCACCCTACGATCCCGAGTCCATGGCATGCCGTGGATTACAGCGCTATATGCAAGCCATTTTGCCACGTGCTGAATGGTCGAATGATGCGCTACGCAACTCACTAATCACCATATTGCGACGTGTGGACAAAGTATTTTTGAAAATATCCAAGAAACCTTCGATACGACGCAACACCGACTGGGAGGCAGCTGCCGGTTTGCTTAAGGGTATACATGAAACGATCGTGCGACATCCGTATGTGCTGCACTGGCAACAGATGAAAACGCTCGTCAGCACAGTGCAAAATCTAATTGTGAACGAAGGCACTAGCGCCGGTGAGGGTGTGTCAAGCGCAGGTGCTGCTCTCATGTCTCAGAACCCTCCGGCCTTCTTTTGTTCGACGGTGGTGCGACTGGTAGCACTGCAAG